AAACATGGGTATTGTGTAAACATGAAGAACAGCAGATGCACTTCATTTGGTGGCCCGAAATATTGAGCAAAGTAATAACACATGGTGCTATTTTCTAATGTCATGCAGACCTAACATGAACATAATAAACACAATGAATTTATCTAGCTTGATTTTTGGTATTTTTCATAATATATATTTATTGGTTGATTTGATAGGGAACAGAAACAAACTGAAAACAGCAAGTATTAAAGTGTTTATAGTGGTTGCTAATTTGCACCACTTGTCCCTAGAAGGGCTTTTGTGTAAATAAATGATTGAAAATATTTATCTCTGAAAGAAAAGACATCATGAAAGCTTTTTCCAAGAACTTTGTCCTCCTTGCCTATAAAGTTTAAAAGAAACACACTTATGAGTATTTTAAGAGCTGTAACAATACCAGGATTTTAAACTTTGAATGGTAAAAGTAAAACTACAACAATATGGATTCCTGTTTTAATACCACAGTAACAAAAATAGAAGTCCTAACCAGCCGGTATCGATTCATTACTTGTTTCTAATGATCAAAGAATGCAGGCAAACTGTCCAAACCGCACCTAAATGTTACGTTTCTGTACAATTTAGATGGATGAGAGTATGTGTGCATTTTTTAATTTCTAAATTATCTTTTTCTCTCAGTACTTCTCGTAACTATTGATCAATAGAATAAGAGATATATTGCTTTAAACGTGGTATTGAAGTATTGTAAATTTTGACAAGCTTATTATCAGTGACTGACAGATAATTACCAATATTAGAAGAGACTCTATTCTTACCATCATCATCATCCACAGTCTAGACACACAGAATGTATTCCTGTTATTTTCTGTAACAACTTAGTTATTATTAAATCAGTGAGTATTCACAGTAAGAAGGAAGTCAACGTTTCCCCAAAGAAAAGATTGTTAGGAAACTTTGCATGAGGAGCCAGTGAGTCAGTTTACCAATTCAACGTCTGCTGCTGCAAAAAAGAGACATTCAGGGTCGCCGGTGGACTAGTGGTCAGTGTGCATGCCATGTACAAAGGGTTGTGGTCCTCCAAGTGGGCGACCCCGGGTTGGAATCCGACATGTGGCTCCTTTCCCGCAGGTCATTCCTGACTCTCTGATTTCTGACTATGTCCTATCCATTCAGAGTTACACAGGGGACAGCCTTCCTGCTCATAATCATCAGCTGTAGAAATGTGAAGTTTTCCTACTAACAATGTTTCCTCATTAATCTCAGTACAATAAATACATGATGCTATTTATTTGCCAAGAGTTGTGTTCACAGCTGCATCAGCATGTCTGAGCTAAGCTGTCTCTCTGATCACTTTAATCTACTAAACACTTGACCAGCGCATGAAAACAACCAGAAACAACATTTTAAAAGGTTGGCTACTCTGTTGGACAAGTTCTGGGAGCAACTTTCCAAACAGGGTGTCCTCCTGATACGCCTCCTCCTCCCCCATCATAAATCCATGTGTCAAAACAGCGGGGTTCTCGCCCAGCACAGCGCCAAATGTTTACAGCCAATTACGCGACAGCTCTGGTGAGCATTACAGCAAAGGTTGTGTCAGTCACTAAGCCTGTAGAGTTGTTGGCACCATGGCAGCGCATCCGTCCGTGCGTATGTGCAGGGAGGGAGCCCGGTGTGGAGCTGCAGCAGCCTACGACGCAGAGTAGGAAAAACTTCCAGAAAGCACCACGCTGCTGCTGCTGCTGCTGCTGCTGCTGCTGGACCCTGGGTCGCTATGTTACACCTTTCATGCACACACTCAGACTAAACACAATCACAAAGGCTACTTCCATTTTCAGCTCAGACAAATCTCTGCTGGTGTCGTCGTAGGTCTATAAAAACAGGCATCAGAACCAGCGACACACAAGCCGAGATCTAGGCTCGAAATGTAAGCCCCGTAGTCCGACGTTTCGACGCGGTCAGCCACGATGAATAAGTTTTAAACCCGCACACTTACTAAAGTACCGCGTCTCTCACAAACAAGGCCAAATAACGGAACGGTACGTATTTAAAACAAAGATATTTCTCCGTCGTTGGAGCCTCTTTAGTGTAAACTTCACCTTAAGTTATGTGCAGCTCCGGGAAATCCATGCAGCAACTTGCTCGGTCCCGACGTTAGCGCTGACTTACTCAACTTGTAGAGAGAGAGGGGCAGAGATACCCAGCTGTGACAACCGACGTCAAGCTCCACGTCACACCAGTTACTCTTTCCGGTCACGATTTCAAAATAAAACTGCAATACGCACTACCAACTTCCGCTATTCTCTCAATTAAACAATCATTATTTCTTATTAAATGGCATAACAAAGCAATACATGATTCAAACGTGTGTTTGCTAAATTGACTGAGGTAAATCTTGTTTTAGTGTAATTTTATAAGCAGAGGCGCTGCTTGTCAACAGGCAAGACAGGCAACCTTGGGACCCTAGTCCAGTAGGGGGCCCCTTAGGGCTCACAAAAACCACAGCAGCGGTCCAAATTGTGCACATTTTGCAATGACAGTAGGAAACCTCCCTAAGGGGGCCCCATTTAAAAGCATTCACTCTGGCTGCCTTGCAAAGCGTTGCATGCATTAATGCTGTGAAAATTCAAATTTGTCAATGAAAGTCAACCAAGAAAAATAAAGAGGAATTAACCGTTTATAGGAGAGAGAAAAAAGAAAGAGGAAAAAAGAGGAAGAGGGTTAACAAGCAGACATTATGGTGATAAATGTGGGTTGAAGGGCCTCACATTATTTTTTGCCTGGTGCCCCAACAGACTCTAGAATCACAACTGTTTACTAGTACTTCATAATGGTCAAGCTACGTCTTCTAATAAAAAAACAAAGCAAGTTCCGGTGATAGTACCTGTGATGTTGAAAAGGAAAAGAGAACCTGTGAAAAAAATGAAGAATAAATTTCCAAATCCATTTCCCTTTTTTATTTTACATTTTTCAAACACAAAGAAAAAAAATCTATTTAACTGATCAAATTGGCTTCTTCAATTTTTGGCCAAATGTGAAGACTGCCAGAATCTTAACCCGATATGCTATGTGGAGCTCTGACATAATGAAATAAAGTCTGATGTGTCCTCTGGCTAGACAATTAACCCCAGATTGCTCTCGCATCTTCGGTGGCTGCGTATGAATGCGTATGAATTAGACTAGTTAATACTGATGGACACTTTACACAGCAGCCCCTGCCATCAGTGTGTGAATCTGTAGATGTGACATGCAGTGTCAAAGCGGTTTGAGTTGTCAGAAGACTAGAAAAGAATGATACAAGCTGATGTCCATTTACCATTTATTGATCTATAAATTCAAACTCCCCATTTGAATTCCATGCAACCCCACATGGGGGACCACAACAGTGGGAAAGCCTGATCTAAAGGAAATGACTATTTCTCCAATGATTTCATAATAAAATGCATCCATTAATTTCAATTTAAACATCTTAAATATTGTGTCCTCCTTTGCTGATCATGTGGCACACTTACAGTACATCATGCATATTGATATCCTACTCAAATCGATGTTTTTCCAAATTTCCATAAAGAACTGGTGATTTTTCCTTTAGCTTACATCAGACAATGTTCCTGTCAAGGCTTGAATTGATGTTTTATCTCATGCTGTGGAAGACTGCTCATGTGTCGGTGCCCGTGAGACACATATCAGATGCGTCTGCTGCGACAGAAGAAGGCCTTCGGTTTCACTCCAGTCAAAACATCTCAGAACAGGTGCCTCCTGGTGCTTGTTTTCTAACCGAGTGGCTTTGACTTCTGCAGGGTGAAACCTCCACATGGATGAATCCCTTTTCACGCCTATAGTGTCTGAATGTTGCCCTGATTGTTTTAAAACATGTACAGAACTGAGAGCAGGACCGTTGTGCTGAATCGGCAGAATACCGTCTCCCCCCCTCAGGAAACTGAAAACTCCCGGCCGCTGAGACCAACCCTAAAAATGACAAACACTCAACGAGGCATATCCTAACAATTCTTACAGTTTTGTGGGTTCTCAGCGCGGTGGTGTGTTATAAACAGTTTTGACATGAAGCATTAAAGAGACCTCATCGCCACTGGCCATGTTGTGTATCTCGTCGGAAGAGAAGGCATCATCGTGCTTTGATTTCTTCACCCATCAGATCTTTTAATCATCCGTACAGCAGCGCTGAACGTGGCTGTGGCAAAACTTCCTGACAGGCTGAATTGATTCCAGTCGGTCTGAAATAGCTTGTAGGCCCCCATTAGATGTGCAGGAATGTAATACCAATGAATGACACGGGTTATTGACTTCAGAGAGATTACATGCCTGTGGATAACCCATCAACACTAAATTAAACTCTGCCCCAAATTACAGTACAAGTGCATCACTGTGAAGGGGGAAGGGGGGTTAAAACAACACACACACACACACACACACACACACACACACACACACACACACACACACACACACACACACACACACACACCACACACACACCACACACACACACACACACACACACACACACACACACACACACACACACACACACACACACACACACACACACACACACACACACACACACACACTTTGTCCTTGGTGTCTCTATCCACTGTCCAATGTATCACAAAGTGCTTTTACATCAAAATAAGTCAAACAGCAACAACACGACCCCCCAATCCAAAAACTATAATGTGAAACAACTAGATAAAAACAGGTACTGAAGGGACTGAGGAAACACAGGAGGTTAAACATGTAATAAAACTAGATAAAATGAGAATAAGTTTAAAGCTAGAAAAATCTATCCTCCTCTCTGATGTGTTTTTCATTGTTATGTCTCTTTTATAATCTGTTTGTCATGATGGATGTCGATCTTATTGGCTGCAAACAAATCGTCCTATATGGGGCAGTTGTAAAGTTGTTTTCTTCCTTTCGTTCAGTGAAAAGTGCTTGCAGTTGACCTTCATTCAGGGCCACCGTATAAAAGCTTCAATAAAGTAATCACATCAGGTACCAGGGAGTGTAATCAGTGTTTTTATTAAAACATAAAATGTAAACATGTACAGAAATAAATAAACAGAAGACACTGGAACATCTGGCTCGATTAGTCGACACATTTAACAAATGTTTGAATTACATTTCAGATACAAGAACATTGAGGCTGAACTTTTCACAACACCTTCCCCTGACATGATCAGTGTGGAGGTTATTTAAATATTTATATATTTTGTCAAACTCATTGATGCAGGCAGTGAACTGTATCTCTTCTGATAAGAGGAGTGTGTAAGTGTGTGTGTGTGTGTGTGTGTGGTCCTTCTTTTCACATCTTTGTCTTTAAAAACAGTGCCATCTGCTGTTACAGAGGTAGAGGGGAGGGACCACACACACACACACACACACACAGAGTGGTCCTCACTACAACTCACTGCAATGCAGCATTAAAACACGGGCACATCGCTCATCCCGGCAGTAACACCCTCAGGCTTCAGGTGTAAAAGAGTCGACTCTTTTAAGGACACATCAGCTCCTCAAATAAGACGCCATGTCCTTAAAGTTCACACAGCTTCATGTTCTACTACAGCTGAAGTGTGATATCTGACTCATAATTCATTAATAGATGAAGTGTTTGATTGACAGGGACCTCATACTGAAACACAAAAACATGACTTCAAAGCTGAGACGAGATGTCTTCTGAAATCCATGTGCGGATAAATTGATTTGTGCGTTTCTGTGTGGTGAAAACACACACAGAAATGTCACAATCAGCGCGGTTGCTAACTCTGCTATTGAATAATGTCATTAGATTGAGGTTTGTTAGGTCACATCTGTTCGCTTGGTTCCAACCAGCTCTGTCTCGTCAATAAACAAAAAACTGTGTTTTTCCATTAACTTCATCTGCTCGGTTGATTACATTTTCACTCCGTACCTGCGAGTTCAAACTTCTAAAACAACATGTTTTCTGTTACGCTGTAGCTTGAACATGCACACGGTTAAATATTGCAGCTTTATAGCAGGGGCGTGTCCAGAGGGGTGCCGCCCCAGAATCTAAATCTATGATTGGATATTTTCCTAATCAGAGGCGGGACTTAAGTTCAAATCAACAATTCTGGTTGTTTTAACAGATTAAGGGTTGTACTTTCAGTTGGAAATAAGCACTTGGCTCTTCCCAACATATGGAATCGACCAAAAAAAACAGGTAGCCATGGAGCCAGACAGAAAAACTAGGGCGAAGACGGCTCACCGAGGATCCATCTGGGACCGACGGCCGATGATCTACCTTGATGTGTCGGGGCCTTAAGACATTGTACAAGTGTGTTCATGTAAATTTCTAAGTACTTTAAATGCTGACTTTGCACATACATCTTTGTTTTTGACTCACTTATCTGTTGCCAAATTGTGTTACTTACAAGTACAAATCATTTGTGGGGATAGAAAGGGTTAAAAAATTTAATTCATTTGCGTGAGTGTGCCCACAAACGTCATGCCACCCCGGCATAAGTCAGTGCCCCAGGTGGGCCCCCCCAAGTTTTAAAAAGTCTGGACACGCCCCTGAACACTTGAATACTTGCTGCACTGCTGGATGAAGCTGTGATGTCATAAAACTCTGTCACCATAACAGCACCCTGGAGGATTCAAATGATAATTGCAGCAGCTGCTTTGGTGAACCACTGAATGCACTCCGCCTCCAGAAAGAGACATTTACAGACTGTTCAACTTGTGTAGCTGCACAAAAAAAGCTAAGCTCAACCATGTCCCTTCTATTGTAAGTGTTTAATGCCACAATACTTTGTTCACATGAATGGAGCGCGTGTGCTGCTTCAGCAAATCTGTTCATTCAGAGATCCCAAATTACAAAAAAACAAGAATCACAACTTCTTACGGCTTTGTAAATAAGCATGATTGAACGTGGAGCATCGTCTTTCATCAGTTCTTGGAGGTGAGAGTCAGGGTGGAGGAGACGCGGAAGATCTGAGGCAGCATGTTGCTCAGCTGGTAAAACATCTCCTCTGAGATACTCTGTCAGTAAAAAGAGAGGGAGAGCCTTTATTAGTGAAAGACATGGTGGGGGTACCACGAAGGGAGAAGAGAGGGAGAGAGCCTGTTGAGAGCCAAAGGTCAAAGACTTTCTCTAAAAACTAATTTCTTGTATCTATTTTTTCAAGTCATCTAGGGGTATTCTTTAAATCTTTTTTCCGGGTTAATATACATGTATGGGAGGGGGGGGCGTCGGTTTTGTGGTTTAATTTGTGACAAATGTTTCATGTCATGTACGTCTTGTAACCTGCTACTGGATGCTTTGAATTTCCCTCGGGATCAATAAAGTATCTATCTATCTAACCTCCTGGTCGGTACGCGGTTTTGTTCAGAGTGACGGCAGTGTACATCCTCAGCTTACACTTCTGAATTGTAATTAATGAAGAAATGCCAAAGAATGGAGCCAGGAACTTCCACATGTCAAATACACGCAAATCATTCAAAGAGTAAAAGAAAGGGAAAAGCATTTTAAGAATCATTCATTTTTATGTTCGGTCCTAATGGCCTGTTAAGTCTGTTTTACACATCTGGCTTTACAACAAAAATACAGATATTAAATTTGATTAAAGGCCGACGTATCATCCTGTATTAAATCAATACATTCATTTGACTTCAATTGTTCAAGTTTAAAGGAGATCTATTAATCTCACTTTCACCTTTAATGATTTCGGTCTGAGACACCTATCGAGGAGCGTTGCAGGCTGTGTAGCTCAAAAAAACCTCCTCATTTATCTGATACTGGTGTCGGTAAAATCCCTCATTTCAGCCTCGGCCTGAAACGGTTCATTTCAGCTGCTGTCTCTTCAAGTGATATCGTCATCTTTAACCGGAGCTTCAGGCTGTTACTCAGAAGCCATTTTCAGGACTGCTTTTTCGCTAAAGTGCCGTAACTAAGCTTAGCCGTCATGACGTCTTTGTACATTCATATTGATTCTGCGCTGGTGTAATATCGGTGTCCCCGTCTGTGAATTCACATTGACTAGAAAACATGGCACAGCGGGAGCTCCACATACACACACAGTCAGACATACACACATACACAGTGCTGTGCTCCCCCATGGCACCGCTGTGTCCAGTGTGTCGCTGGAAATCAGGGAGAGAGAGAGTAGGGAATGACATGTGGGAAAGGAGCAACAGACCGGACTCGAACCCGGGCCGCCCCCGCAAGGACCACAGCCTCCACACACGGGGCGAGTGCACTAACCACAGCGCCACCAGTGCCCCACAACATTCAGATTGAAGATTACACCTCACAACGGTGTAAATATGGCGGCTTGAAACAGCAGTATGAATAGGGCTCATGAAAGCCTGAGTATGTTAAACACACTTTGTAGTAGACCTTTATGGAGTGAGATGTGTGCAGCACCGATGTAAAAAGTAAATCAGTGTGAGTACACACTGTCTGACAATGGTAAAAAGACAAGTTAAACATTTTTATAAATCCAGCTGAATGTGTGCTCATGAAAACACAAATACTCATGGCGTGTTTGTGTACAGTGGAAGTGTGAACAGCTCCTGTGGCGCCCTTCAGTTCAACATCACAGGGTGTTTTTTTTTTTTACCCCCCCTCGAGGGAACAGCAGTCGAGATGCTGAAAGGATGTGAACCCCGGCAGCTGTGACTTAAACAGGAGAGCATAGCGTGTCACTCCGAGCATCGCCAACCGTCAAATAAGAATGTTAAGTGTTAATGTTTAAGCTGAAACACGGGCACACAAACACAGCGAGTATATTTAGCCACCGTGTCTCTTTGACGAGTAGACTACAATGTTGTTTCAGAAGTGCTATTTTAAATGGTGTCTGAGCATGTAGCTGACAGGAAGCCGATGCAGCCGGGAGTCCTTTGAAGCGGCTCGTTTTATCATCTTAACCTGTCAACACGACACCGTTCATTGGGCTCTGCTGCCGTCCTGACAAACCACAAGCGCCACAGACACACAACATGCAGCTAAACCCCAAATCAAATAAGTGATATTACATCCTGCACTCAGCTCACAGTCCTCTGAAAACCGTTTCCTTAAAGCTGAACCTGAATGTTTCCTGACTAGCTAAGCACATCTGGAGTTTGACAAATGTACAATACTTATAAAGACATAAGTTAAAAACCTAAATTAAGATTTAATGTTGAAGGATTTCATGTTAATCCTGCTGCTTAACACATAATAACATGGAGCTCTCTTTCTTTATCACAGCAGTGTAAACATTGGTCAAGAGAACAGAAAGCTCTTATGATTTATGGTCGGCTTTTCTCCCCTCTGCCTGCTCTCAAAGGTGTGTACTGCACGGCCAGGTGTTTCTTTGTGAGCTTATGTACAAGGGAAGCCTTAAGCATACTTTTTTTTTGTTAGCATAGAGCTTTGCTGGCGAGCAATTACTCAAAGAAACAGTGTGTGTCGCCTTCACTGAATGTTGTGAAACCAAAAGTATGTGGAGGAGTACACTCTGTTCTCACCTTTGGCACTAGAAACTGGACTGTGCGTGAAATACCTCCGTCCCATGAGGCCATCTCCATCATGAAGCCTGCAAAAAAACACAAAATGAAAATGTCATACACTCACATTTTTTTAAATGATCAATATCGATATATATCTTGAATAGAATGAGGCGAGTGCTGCACAGGGTAAAAAAATGAGGCCCAGTTCTACAAGAGCGTTGAGAAGTCAGAGGACTAAAAAAGTGCTAAACAAGCTCAAGTCCATTTACCATGTGTCCTGATATTTCACATTTAAAACAGATCTAAACTTTGATATGACTCCCCTGGAATTACTGCAAACCTCATCTTAAAAATGTATTTTCATTGCACGATCAAAATGTTCAATGCTTGGAGAACAGAGAGTTCATGAAAGACGGCAGGGGATGTCAGAAGAAGCAGCAAGAACATTATTTTTTAAATAAATAATCCAGTAGAAAAATAACAATGTGAGCACATGCTGTAGTGGAATAATGGCTAAAACAGTACAACGGTCGAGAAAACATGCACATCCAAACTAAATAGGGCAGCTGCAGAGTCGAGCAAATAAATCACTTAAAACAAAGAAGAAGACGACTCGCACAATGCAGGGCTCACCAGGGTGACGCTTCAAGCGCACCTGCCCTTCGTTTCATAATGGTCAAAACAGAAAATGTCTAAAGATTAAAAAAAAAAAGTTCAAATTAATCTCACCTTTGACACATTTGAAAACCAGCTCGGCTCTCTTAAGACACCACGGTATGGTCATCTCCTGCAAAGAGAAGACGAGAAAGATAAGGACACTGCAGCAAATCCATCTTGACACATGATCAGATTGGACATTTATCAGCACAAAGTGGATTCTGCTGAACTGGACATTCAAGAACAAGGTCATGATATGTGGGTGATAGTCTGCTTTGACTTATAGAAAATAAATGTAAAGGTCACACATTATGCTAAATACACTTCCCCTTGTTTCTCTATCTCTAATATGTGTCTCTAGTCTGTTGACAAACCCCCTAAATGATGAGAAAAGTCCATCCTCTCCGTCTTTTGCCTGCTCCACTTTTCAGAAAATGTGTGCTCAAACAGGCTGTTTGGTGATTTCCCTTCATGAGATCACGAAGGGCAGTAACCCTCCCCAGGTGGGTGACACTCCCACAGCTAGGTGTTTGTTCTGCCCTCTGAGTCTGCCTTCTCACCGTAAACAATAGGATATGGCGCAACCCAAGCCCTTCCAGAGAGGGGGCGTGGTCAGACACAGCTCATTTACGTTTAAAGCTACAGACACAGAATAATAATAATAATAATACATTTTAATTTTTTATTTGTAATGCACTGTAATGCAAAGTGCTGAAAATAAAAATGAAGCAAAGCAAAGTGCCATCTCCTGAAAATAGATAATTTCGAAAATCTAGATAATTTCAGGAGGACTGCTCCTGATATTCTCTTGACCTAGCCGTTCACATATGCTCCTCACAGCAGGAGACTATCCCTGCCAGACAGGAGGGGGGGCGGGGGATTTCCTGAGGTAAGACGTGGTGTAAAAAAACAACGAGGAAGAAGCAGACGAAGCAACAGAGTCCGCTACACGATGCTATAACAAGAATATTTGCCACACATATCAATGCTATGTGTTGTCCAGGGGAATTTCAACATCCACAAAAGAGCGGAGAATAACATACTGGAGAACAGAAACAGTAACACAGCCGGTTAATTACGTGCACGGAGATCGTAGTGGTCGCATGCATACACCCTAGAAATTATCTAGATATTTTGAGGAGTGTATACATGAAAGTGCCTCTGGGTGAAGTCCGTACGAAAAATTCAGCTGTTTGCTTTCAGCTCCTCCGACAAATATCAGGAGTTTTCTGCAAGTGTGAAAGCCCTATTATTGTCATACCCCCTCTATATAAACACTTAGTCAATCTATCCTGTTGACATTGCCGCTCTGTGAAGTAGTCCGTGGACTGATGGGGGACAAAGTCTTGGAGTATGACCCTTATTTCATACCCTTTATCGGTGCAAAGGACTAATGTTTCCATGCACTGTGAGTTCCTCAAAGTCAAAAGCAGTGCGCTGAAACGTTAGTCCTTTGCACCAAAATACATTTACCTTAAGTCATTTCTGTGCTCCTGTACTTTCTTTGGATTCTGCCTGAGAGAAGGAGTCCATTGAATTCTAATTTAAACATCTGAAGTCCCTACTTCGCTATATCAATACCTGTTTGGATACCACAGCCAAAAAAATAGAAGTCCTCTGCACCAAATATTGGGTCATTTACTGTTTTTTGGAAACTAAAATCGGATGCACAATTTTCTTAAAAGCAATGGGTAGCCAGTGTAAGGTCATTAAAACAGGAATAATATACTCTCTCTCTCTACACACACAGAAACACACACGCAACCTTTCACCCACAAGTCAACAAACCCAATCCATGAAGTCAAGGGGTGTCATCGAGGCCCATTTTAACCTCGCCCCAAGATAACCTGCACAGGCTTTAGCAACTGCTCTGTGATGCATCAACAAAAGGACAGCACACCCGAGAGTTGTTTCTGTATGGCTGAGGCTGGTACCAGTGTGGAGCTGGGAGCTGGAGCTGGTACCAGTGTGGAGCTGGGAGCTGAAGCTGGTACCAGTGTGGAGCTGGAGCTGAGGCTGGTACCAGTGTGGAACTGGGAGCTGAAGCTGGTACCAGTATGGAGCTGGGAGCTGAAGCTGGTACCAGTATGGAACTGGGAGCTGAAGCTGGTACCAGTGTGGAGCTGGGAGCTGAAGCTGGTACCAGTGTGGAACTGGGAGCTGAAGCTGGTACCAGTGTGGAGCTGGGAGCTGAAGCTGGTACCAGTGTGGAGCTGGGAGCTGAAGCTGGTACCAGTGTGGAACTGGGAGCTGAAGCTGGTACCAGTGTGGAGCTGGGAGCTGAAGCTGGTACCAGTGTGGAGCTGGAGCTGAAGCTGGTACCAGTGTGGAGCTGGAGCTGAAGCTGGTACCAGTGTGGAGCTGGGAGCTGAAGCTGGTACCAGTGTGGAGCTGGAGCTAAGGCTGGTACCAGTGTGGAGCTGGGAGCTGAAGCTGGTACCAGTGTGGAGCTGGAGCTGAAGCTGGTACCAGTGTGGAGCTGGGAGCTGAAGCTGGTACCAGTGTGGAGCTGGAGCTGAAGCTGGTACCAGTGTGGAGCTGGGAGCTGAAGCTGGTACCAGTGTGGAGCTGGAGCTAAGGCTGGTACCAGTGTGGAGCTGGGAGCTGAAGCTGAAGCTGGTACCAGTGTGGAGCTGGAGCTGGAGCTGAAGCTGGTACCAGTGTGGAGCTGGAGCTGAGGCTGGTACCAGTGTGGAGCTGGGAGCTGAAGCTGAAGCTGGTACCAGTGTGGAGCTGGAGCTGGAGCTGAAGCTGGTACCAGTGTGGAGCTGGAGCTGGAGCTGAAGCTGGTACCAGTGTGGAGCTTGCATAATAGGACACCAAAGTTGTGCTATTATGTCATTCTTGTGTTTTGGTAATTGTCTGTCTAAAAAGATTCACAGAGGTTTTAATTTTCTAGCCCTCAAACCTAATAACATGTTTTTTTGGCGTTTTGGAGCACAAAGTCACGCTATGTCCGGGATCGTTTTTTTCTCAAACTCAAAGTTAACAAGAAAAAAGAAAACAAGAATAAAAGCCACAGCCCTGTTTTATTTATATTGCAGTCTGCACTTCATGTAGACAAACTATGTCTGTGCCTCTCCGAGCCAAAACACAAGAAGAGGCTTATACAAACATGGCGGACACGGCCTCTGAATGGCAAACAAGTCGGAGAAGAAAAAAAGATGACAGATGAAGAGTTTGGATGTGAAACCAGAAGCTATCAATTAAATTCCCTCTGGTTCGCAAGCCTTCAGAAGTCTTTGGTTGTACAAACAAAGAGTCTTGATTAGACAGGAGGAGAATAAATAGCAGCGGGCATGTTGTGGCACGAGTGAACCCCCGGCTGAGGCCTGTGGAGACTTGACTTTTCATCTTAATGGGATTCAGAGTTTATTAGGTTTTTAATTTCTACTCAGTCAGAAAATCCAAATCCCATTATTTATTTCATCCAACCAAATTAAATTTAAAATCTAATTTAAAGAATAATAAATCCACCTCTCTGTGTGATTCACTTCATGGGTCACTCAAAGCCATCTCTGTTGCTGTCGCCCTGCTGTATGAGCACAGGAGAGCCGCCCCACACACACACACACACACACACACACACACACACACACACACACACACACACACACACACACACACACACACACACACACACACACACACACACACACACACACACACACACACACACACACACACACACACACACACACACACACACACACACACACACACACACACACACACACACACACACACACACACACACACACACACACACAGAGGTATTAAGTCAACAGAAAAGTTCACGACTCTCTACTTCGGCCTGTCGGTTTTTCAAAACCTGGGACATGTTCAGTTGTAGCCGGGGGGCCAGACCACAGCTGAGTATGCCGAGCGTTCAGACGGGGAGCTGAATGAAAGGGAAGAAATGGTCACGGAAACTTGTGACGTCAGCAAAGTTTCATCACCTTCCACACACACACAAACAAGAACAAACTCTGAGGCTTAACACAAACGTCAAAGTCAAAAACACAGAAAAGATTACGCTAAGAGGATTCCTGGATTGAATGTAGAGCTCAGTCCGTCCAGTTGAGATTGTCATTGAGCAACATTGAATCCTATCCAGACACTGAGGGGGACATTTTTCACATTTTCCATTGGTGTGGTTAAGTTTGCATTAGTATGATATCACCTGGGAGGTGAATCCTGAAGCTTTTTTTTCACCACTAATTTAAAACTCATTAATCTGCTGTCAATAAGCTGCGATGGCCATTATACTCAGCCCTCCCTCTAATAAGTAAGATGTACACATGCTGAGTAGAAAATAACTATTTTTATTGCGTTATTGTTTTTCCTGTCTGTTGCGATTAATTCAGACTTATACAATATGTTTCATGATGACATTGGGATGAACTGCTCTGCACTAATTTCTCATCTCAGGTGTCCTTACCTCCGACATGTCGTGGACCAGCAGCAGAGGCACAGTGACGGTGGTGATGTCGTGCGTGCAGCACACCTTCAGGATGTTTCTCAGACCCATGATGGCCGGGTCCCGAGCCGTGATGTTCCCTGAGCGCACATTATCGTCCACACACAGGTGGAAGACAACGTGGCACTCTGACAGGTTGGAGTGCCGTGAGATGTAAAACTCACCTTTAAGAAGAGACACAGCAGGTAGAAGACGATTAGTTAGAGTTTGATATTGGAAGAAAAAAATGCAGCTTATGTACTTTCTGGTTAGTTTAAGTTAATGTGAGGAGCTCCATGACAGCACTATTGTCTCATGTAGGCTTGTATATCAATTTAATAGTTTAAAATTAGGACTGTCAAACATTCAAAAGTGTAATTGTGATTAGTTGCTTAATTTTCAATAGTTAATCATGATTAATAACATTTGAAATTCCATTATTTTGCATTTAAAAATAAAAGTTGTTAGGCTTTTATTTTGAAATGTTTGTACTGTCTTAAGCTGAGAGTACTTGCTATTTGAATTCAACCGTTTTATTTTGGAGCTTCTGGTAGATGGAAGGGTAGGACATGAAGTTAAGCACAGAAACAGGAAGTGGTTAGGAATCACACACTGACATCAAGCAGCTCAAAGGAACGGTAACAAAGGTCAATGTGTGATGTCATAAGGTCAATGTGTGATGTCATAAGGTGGACATTACTTTGGACTCATCAGCTGAGCTGTCTGAGAGTTTGTTAAAGTGAAATTAGAGATTCAAAGATGCAGCAGTGTCCTTCTTTTACATCACCATGACTACAGGGTAGTGTTGTAGTACTTGTAATCAAGACCGGTTAAGACCACCACTGACAGGCGTCTTTCTAATGTCAGTACTGTGTTTAGAAGGTAAAACAACGAATAACCTTAACTGATTTGTAGATTGGTTTGCCCCCCCTAGTTACAACCACAACCTTCCCGGTGTTATGATCTAAACTAGAGACACGCCCCCTAAACACAAGATGATCATTTTTCTGTGATATTTATAGTCCTGATGTACGGACGCTATGGTCCTCCATGCAGCTGACCCGGGTTCAATTCCGAACTGTGGCTCCTTTCTCGCATGTAATTTCCCACTCTCTCTACCAATTTCCTACTCTATCCAATGTCCTATCAAAATAAAGGCAAAAAGCCCCCCCAAACAATAAAAAACTATTCTGAAATTGATAGTTAGCTGTTAAACTCCTCGTCTGAAACCGATCTGTCAGCAGCGGTTACAGACATTAAAAACTCACAATATTAAAATAATCAATCTTGTTGCTGACGGTCCCGTTTGTTTTTGTAGATCATGTGGAGCTATCATTACCACTTCAGTCTGTTTCATAACCAGCTGAAAAGTCCTCACAGAGCAGGAGGAGGAGTCAGTGTGGAAATACATGTTGATAATCATTACCTGGTAAGATGTTGGACGGATTTCTTTCAACATTTTTGCTCTTGTCATCACCTCCATTCCTTGGCACCTCTGCAAAGTACAGAATTGAACAACACAATCAGTGAGTGTTTTCAGTGTTCAGAAGTTTGATCAAAAGCTAGAAGAGAGCAGCACTACTCCAACGACAGGTCACGTTTATTTCTGTTTAGTCTTGTCATTGTTTAGTGTGAGAGTAAAAAACATGTTCATCTTTCTGGTCCTGCAAAACAAAAGTAAGAGATATAAAGAACAACTTTAAGACTGTACAAGAGCTTGTATGACCCGACGCTTTGTTTCACCGTGACACTGCTGAACATGCCATGTATGAAAGTGTTAGTTAAGCATTTTTTTAAATGCATAGCTGGTTAAAATAGCAAGCCTGGATGTCTACAAATATTATTTCCAGTGACATGTATGTAAAGCTCATTAGCGATACCTCTGGAAGAGATTCATGGCAGCCTTGGTGGCACCTGTCCTCCTTTTGTCTTTCTTATTCTGTGACTGCAGCCAATGACAAGCGAGAAGACTTACCGGGTTGCTCCTTCTGTTTGTGGCTCCGCTGGGCTCGTGCATACAGCACCACCTGCTGCACCTCCTCCAGCTGCTCCTCCAGACAGTGAAAGTGGAAGTCCGTGCACTCCTTTGCTACAGTTGCAAAGTCTGGTGGTTAACACACACAAAGAATTACATGATTATGACACGATGCAGGAAAAGTTTGATTGAATATCCAGCCTGTCCTTACAAAATAAAATTAAACTGGAAATGGTTGTTCAACTTTAGGTAACTGGGAAACCAATGTGCAGTATTTCTCACCTGACAGAGTCTAGTACACACTGGATTTAGCCAACAACATGACAGCAGACCCTCTGTACCCTCTTTGATCTGAGTGTGTTTAAATGTCTTATTTCCTCAATATTTCCCTCAAGGATTAATAAAGGATATCAAAAAATCAAAATCAAAAATCAAATGTTCTAAAAGTTTTTTGTTTTTTTTGACTGTGTAAGCACTTTGAGTTGCATGATGTATGAACAGTGCTCTGTAAATAAATGTGCCTTAACCTAACTTAGTTGCTTATCAGTTACAGATGTTTAAAAAGTGTTACGCTCACAGTAAAGGTGCGAGATAATGAGATTGAGTCATGACTAGGCAAAAACTAAAGGCAGCTTAAGAGGAATGTAAATATGTTGACCATCCAGAAGGGGGCCTCGCACACAACCCCCACTTTTCACAAAGCACAACCACCACAGGTTTTCCTAATCGTGACCCCTGACCTCTCTTGATGCCACTGTAGGAGTTGACTCTGTTGTCGACCAACAACACCTGACCACAGAGTGAGGACGAGTAGAGAGAGAGGGCCGTCTGCAGCCGCCTCAGCTTCACTCCACCGCTGCCGTGCCACCGGTGCTTACAGAAGTCCAGCACGTCTGCCCGCACCAGACGGAGGTTGTGCATCGTCTTCAGCTGTGCTCCTGAGCAAGAAATACGCACACACATTATATTTATGAGGTGAATCAAATGATGCATGCATAAATCAGAAGTATACATTATTCTGTACTTAGATTCCTGCACAATAAATCTGCTTTTTACGATCATGGTATCTGACATGTCGTGGACCAGCAGAAACTAAGAAAGCAGGTTAAACTTCAAGCACCTAAGTGAATGGTGAAACTCTCCTCCAGCTGAGGCTGCTCCTCAAACATCCTCGCCCCCGGATCTGCCACCTCCGACAGCTGACTGGGCTGCACCTTGATCTCCTCACTGTAACACAACCATGCAAACAAAAGTTGATATTTTGATGTCGCTTTAAAGAGTTTAAGAGAAGACCTGAGAGAACCTGAAGAGATGCACAGCCCAGAATATGAAACATGTTCACTACCTGTGAGACATAACTGAACATAAACAATGTAAAAAAGAGGAATTTCTTCTCCCATCACCCATATTATTATTATTTCAAAACTTTACTTACAGGAAATAAGACAAAATGTTTTCAAAGGAATCACAAAGTTAACCTGGATCGTGTGTTCACTGCAGCTTTACAAAGTGCACAAAGTGCTGATGAAGATCGTCCCACACATAATAATAATGATATTCATCATTAAGACAAACTCATACAGAGTCAGCACACTTTCTGAGAAGCTCTCCGCACACACGCTCAAGCTAGTCTCTGCGTGTTGATGGGATATCCAATCTATGCAGCAGAGTGGAGTAAAAATCTAATTTAAACCACGACTCTGTGAGACCTCATTACTGTAAACCCCTACTAGATTTTACCCCTACTTATTATCCCAGAGTGCCCGTCATAACTAATGCTGCAAAGCCAGACATCAGTCAAACTGAGATGAGTTTTTGACCTTGTGTAATTCCTCTAGTTTTCATGTAAATGGAGCCTAAAGTTCAAAGAACGAGCAGCATGCACATCGTGTTTCGGGATGAGATCTTCTGCAGGAGTGCAAATGTTGACATCCTGTTAACGGTTCCGCTTGTCCTCAAGCAGGATTTCTCCTAATATGACATTTAAAGGAGCAATATGTAACTCTGACCCCTAGTGTTTAAAATGGGTACTGTAGTCTAAATTCTAAACATTGTAGAGAGCTATGTCCCCCCGCCCCCTCCTCTCTAGAGTCGATGCTCACGCAGGTCACCATGTAGTGGACACTGAAGCTTCAATGTTTATCCAGCTCTGCATCGGTCAGTAAACCTTTCTGTGTTCTAACCTCTCTCCATTTTTCAAAAACATCTCCAATATTGATCCTAGTTTGAGCACGTTTCTGCTCGTGGAGCTTATTAGAAACATGCAGAGGCTTTTTAGGTCGGGTACAGTCGCTTCTATCTGAACCACTTCTCTTGACCGCTTCCATCACTGCAACACCTGTTGGTTTGACCTGATAACTGCTCTCATATCTGGCAAACCGAGGGGCGTCCAAAACAGCCTTGTGGAGGTGCCTTAAAACCACTGCAGCGATGAAACCCAAGGCCCACTTATTTGATACCCTTATGTAACAAGTGAAGTGTTTTGTTAGTTCCCAAACTCACGACCCCTGTCATTCAAATTTTTCTTTCTGGGGGGAACGCAAGAGCTTGCATTAACTGAGCCTGGGTCTGTGTCTCAACTGTGAATACTGTTGTTTTCTTCTTACTCTGTTACTTACCTTTTCACTCTTCCACTTCATACTTTATAATAAATTGTGTTTTTTGTTTTTCTCTTTTGATGCTCTTTAGTTTTACTTTCTTTTGTGCTGTAATGTGGAGCAACCAAACACAAGAATTGTGAATTGTGTTGGATCAACTGTTTTGGCTTTACCGTGCCGTAAAAAGTTAAGCAAGTACACTACGTACACTACGTACACTTCAGTATACATGTTTACAGACCGTTAGAGTGTGCACACAAGCACATGCTGTACTGTCAAACTCACTTAATTTTGCTGCTGTTGTTGGACTTCTGTAGGTCCTGGTGCAGTTTGATGACCCACTCCTGATACTCCTGCTTCTGAATGCCGGTTACTTGCTTCAGCTCGCTCGCCCATTTGTTCTCCAACACCTGTTTGACGACAAAAACACAGAGAAAAACAATATTTTGTCAACAACTGGCTGGAGTAATCTGATGATATCCGTACTGTGATAAAGGTACACCTGACTCCAACATCAATACAGAGAGAGAGAGAGAACCCCAGCCTCGTCTTTACCTGCTGAGCATCAAAGTGTTGAGAGGCAACAGTGTTGACGTCATGGTCACTCAAAGTGTTCCCCAGCTCGTGCATTACTTTGTCCATTTCTGAGGCTTGCCTGCAAGACAAAAACATTCAGTATTTATGGATTTAACAGAATGGAGGAACTACAGCATCACAAAGAGAGCTCATGAACAGAGATGTATGTTGTTATTTCAGTCACCTATAGTCGTGGCAGCTGAGGGATATATCTTTGCAAGAGACTTGAGTTAAAACTAACTCTGGTGCGTTTGTCACTTTTGTTTTCTGTGTAGTTGTTTTTATAAGCTGTAAATTAAAATCATGTATGGATGAGAATCACAATTTTGCGGATTAGAACTCTCAAAAACAGCTATCGTTGTTGTTGTTTATGATTTATTAACTTTAATTATCTTTTTTTTTTTAAGTGCTGTGCCTGTCAGCATCTGTGTACGATCGCACTTAAAAGTCACATATTCTGTAAAATCCACTTCACCATGTTTCTCTAACATTAACATGTGTCCATAGTCTGTCTACAAATCCCCCAATGATGAGAAAAGCCCATCCTCTCTGTCTTTTGCCTGCTCCACTTTTCAGAAAATGTGTGCTCAAACAGGCCATTTGGAGATTTTCCCTTCATGACATCACAAAGGGCAGTAACCCCTCCCCCCAGGTGGGTGACACTCCCACAGCTAGGTGTTTGTTCTGCCCTTTGAGTCTGCCTTCTCACCATAAACAATAGGACATGGAGCGAAAAAGCCCGAGCCACCCAAGCCCTTCCAGAGAGGGGGCGTGGTCAGATACAGCTCATTTACATATTTAAAGCTGCAGAAACAGAAACAGCCTGTTCTGATCAGGGCTGAAATAGAGGGGTTTATAGACATGATCAAATACAGGATCAGAGTGGATTTAGAACAAGAAACTTCACACACATGTTTTGAGGAGCTCTGAGACTTGTTTACAATGGTTGAAGAGGAGAATGTGACCTTTAAAGCTGTTCCTTTACCCTTCCTGACGTTGTTTCCTCCTCTTTAGATCCTTCTGTTGTACTTACTCTCTGATGTGCGTCGCTTTAGATAAAAGCGTCTGCAAAGTGAATTGGAGAACAATTTTGCACAGACTGATATTGTCTCTAAAAGTGTCAGCCACTTTGAGGAAGAATTTAGTTTGATGCATTTATAGTCTGAAACAAAACCCACACAGCGTTATATTTTTATCTTTATTACTCAAATCAATAAGTTTTAGGGCGCAGATGGTGTAGGGGTTTGGTCATGCCGCATTTACGAGGCTATAGTCCTCCAAGCAACCAGGCCCAGGTTTGAATCTCACATGCAGCTCCTTTCCTCCATGTCAGTTCCCACTCTCTCTCCCTGATTTACTACCTTATCCACTGTAATGAGGGCAAAACAGCCCAAAAATAAATCTTAACATAAATAAATTAAGATGGGATAGGTGTATTGTATCCATATGAAACTTGTTCTGCAAAAAGCAGCTGTGAGTATAATAGGGAGCAGAGGTTCAATGTAACAATATATTGACTTTATGTTGCCAAAGAACTCCGATACAGTACGAGCTGGAAGTTCAAAGATCCCGGTTCGACACCAACCTCTCCTGCAGCTTCTTAATCTCCATGTCTCTCTCACTGATGAGCTCAGAGATGCTAACAAAGTAGTTGTGCTCCAGGTTTAGAAGTGTGTCCGAGGCAGGAGAGTGGATCAGCTCGTGGTAAACGTCTGCAAAGTCCTCATCCCAGCTCGGCTCCTCGGGTCGAGCGTGCTCCAGTGTAGTCTGTGATGGAACGGGGTGGTGGGGAGGGGGGACAAACAAGAGAGAGACGGATATTAACTTTAACATAATAAAACGTGTCGCCAGGGAGGGACGTCATTTATTTAAACATTCATTAGATATGTGGGGGGAAAAACTAATAGCAATAAGAGCAAACTTTCTGTAAAGAACCCATTAAAGTATTTGTTTGAGAAGGGTTAAGATGAAGAAAAAGTATCTAGTTTTCTCTCATTTGTCTCTTTGAAGCTTCATTAATTGAGGCCAAAATAACACCAAAGAATACAGATAACTAGCAAAGTAATAGAATGAAAAAACAACATTAAATAAATAACTCATATGATAAATGGACTTAAGCTTGTAAAGTTTTCTAGTCTTCTGACGACTCAAAGCGCTTTAATACTGCAGGTCACACCTACACATTCACACACTGATGGTAGAAGCTGCTGTGTAAAGACACCATCAGAAGTAACTAATCCATTCATACACATTCACACGCAGCTGAGGCAGCAGCGGGAGCAACTTCAGAAAAAGGGCGCAATCACACTCTGCAATCTGTCGCGTGCCCAAGCACAGTTCACCCCTAAAGTCCAGTTCGTTTGACGAGTGTGAGTGTTCAGATCTGTGCTCAAGCACGGTACACTTCCTTGGCCCTTAAGCAAGCTTGGAAGAGGTACTGTGTGCTTAGGCACGGTACAGTTCATGCACGAGCACAGGCACGGCTACACAAAGTGGACCGCCTTCATTATGGAGAAATCTCAGAGTGTTCTGTCTGTATCTGACTAACATGACTCAGAATAAGACACAAAGTCAGTAAAGTAGCTGTCGTGTTCTCTGTGTTGTTATCTGATTCATGTAAAGTCATGCATGTGTTTTATTGAGATGTAATGTACTCTTTTTGGGTAACTGTTGATGTTTTACTCTGAACATGATTCGACTGGTTTTGAAGTCGACCAGATCTCTGGATTTAAGTGAATTCAATCAGATCAAAATATGTTTGTTGTGTCTTAATAAGTGGTTTTTATGAATGTTCGGTTTGTACGGCTGTTTTCTCTTCATACTGCAGCGTTCGTCAAAGCATGCAGGATCGCTGAACTGTTCACAACTTATCACATGTGGGTGATAAACGGAGTGACCACAAGATGCTGACTTCAGTAAAAAACAGTGGAAACTACATTTTCTGTTTTTCCAGACAAAATGTAACATCAGCACAGTTTGGGGTGCTCAATTAACCGCTGTGGTCAATGTCCCATTTCCATAATTAGAAAAGCAACAGAACAGTGTTGAGAATGTGAACCCCCCTCTATTTATACGGGTGCAGGAATCTTCAGACCACAAACACGATGGACACTGGAAGGCGTCCATGTGTATTTCTGTGTGACTGCAGTAAATAGTTAACAAGCAGCCGCTCCTACGTGTCTGAGCGCAGCCGGCTTCACAACAAGGGCAGAAGCAGGCCTCGTCTTTTTATAAATGCTGCCCGCACTGGTGGCAGCGGAGATTAAAGCCATGAACATTAAAGTGTAAAACCAAATGATCGTGTTGCCCTTCTTTAAGCATGAATAAGTAACACTTAGATGTGCCGGTTTTGAAGACTACGCTTCATTTCATTTGTTTGTTTTTATTGACCCATGATCTCAAAACTGATGACTCTATTCTCAAATTTATGCACCCGCCGCCAAATATTGGACCTCTGGGAGAAAACGCATCAAAGTGTAACCAAGTGCAATGAGAAGACATTAAGCACAGCATGCGGCCTCGTGTAATGGGATCCTTTTTTCTCTCTCAAGAACTCATTAATAATCAATCTGCAGATGCACTGCGCCACTTCTGTTTAAGTTACTTAAATGATCAATGGCTGCACCAAAGTAGGCGGGCGCATTCAAGGACAGTTCAGAAACCCTGTAGCCCTGTATGGAGGGGTAGATAAACAATCAGGTTGAGCACCAAAAGTCTAAAAAAAAACATTGAGACAGCTGGCAAGAAAGAAATCTGACATAGCAACTGCTGGATTCAATAAAATTGAATCATGATGATGGTCCGGTTCTATGAGAGTGCAAAAGGATGGATTGCGCCCTCATTCCAAATGTCTGAACTCTCAATTAAATGGAGTAAACAAAGGTTCAAATTGGCAACAGTGGGTCAGATCCCGTTGATAAAGGGTCTGATAGTCATGACAGGTGCATGTGACCTGACCTGCACGTAATTTGCAAAATGCGTGCAGCAGCAGGGTTAAATAAGTAATTCTCTGCAGACTACGTTTGCATAGAGTTGTCATAATTGATGAAATGGATCATAGATATCCACAAATGGACAGAGCAGCCGCCGAAGCCGAACACCGACAACACTGCCTCCACCGCTGCTGACACTACAGCAGATCATGGTGACATTAGTATAATTCAATAAAACCCCCCAAAAATTTGTACTCTACGTTCTCACCTCCACATAAGACCTGGTCCATGCATTGGTGAGCTGGTTCACATCTACTTCCCCCGTGGAAAGTCTCTGCAGGGCCAGCTCTGCCTCTCTGTCGTAATCCAGGATGGTCTCCTTCTCGATGAAGATAGAAAGCGAGTGTTTCAGCTCTGCATGAAGAGATGCAAACAAGAGAGAGAGAAAAACTGTAATTTCAAGTATGTTTCGATTCTGCACGAGCTAAACAATACATTACAAAAACCACTACGCTGGATCCTTTCCATCTGTTTCAAACTAACAACGTGCACACTGACATCCTCTCCTCTTTGTCATGAAGACGTGGAAATTTACTTTTTTTAATAGATCTTTACTTTATTGATCCCTGCAAGGAAAATTTCAGTTTTTACACTCTGTAGTCATGCAACACACACATAGGCTGAAGTATATACACACATGCACAAACAGGATCCTATGCACATGCACTAAGGGAGAGATGTCAGAGTGACGGAGCTGCCCAGCTGGTGGTGGGGAGGGGGTTTGGTGCCTTGCTCATGGGCACCTCGGCAGTGCTCAGGAAGTGATCTGGCACCTCTCCAGCTACCAGACCAACGTCCATATTTGGTCCCCATCAGGACTTGAATCTGCGACCCTACGGTTCCCAACCCAAGTCCCTACAGACTGAGCTACTGCCGCCCATATAAACATATAAAGTCATTGTAAATAAGCAGAGTCTTGTGTTTCTTGTCCAGCTGTGCAAATTTGGTTTTCACACTTTAGAGGGATTGTTTCAGAGAAGTGAGTACAAAAATAACAACAATACTTTAATAATAATAAACATAACGCTATGACTGCTTTTGGTGGCTTCAGGAGTTTATATCAAAACTATTAGATGGACGATAATGCAGATATGTCTTTGAGAAATGATACTTTACAAATATTATCAGAAAACACCCACGACTTCTGACACTTTAATTATTAAATGATTTCATTTTAAAGACAAGTAAGGGCTAGAGTTTTAGGAGCTTCAACAGTACAGGCTGAATCCAAAGCACCACACTCACAGACTTTGAGTTCAAGATAAGTGTGTGAGTATTTAGTGCTGTCCCACTGTCAAATCATCAAGTGCAGGATGCCGGTGACCTAGTGGTTAGTTTGCACGCCCAAGGTACAGAGGGGCTGCTTTGCTGCATGTCACTCCCCACTCTCTCTGTCTCTCTGATTTCTGACTCTATCCACTGCCCTGTCTCTGTAATAAAGGCATAAAAATTCCCAAAAAAAACCAAAAATCCTCAAGTACGTGAGGGCTCTGACGTGGACTTCTAATAGCAGTTTCCGGGAATCAGCACTCTCTCCTGAAGGACTTACCCAGAATTCATTGCAAACTAGGTGAAGTGAAGGACGTGACGGTCCAGCCCCTCACCGAGTGTAAACAGATATTTGTACATTGAAGCAGTATTCAATAAAGTTTGAAAACAAATTACTACATTTAATCAAAGCAAGCATGGACGTGGTGGAAAAACAGAAAATAAGTTAAAGTGACAGTAACCCAGTTTTATTCCCTTTGTGGTTATTTATAGCACGTTTAAATAGTTGTTTGTGTTCTCAGTCTACAAGAACAAAGTATGAATATTTATGTTATGAAAGAAATAAAAATACATAATGGAGGTGGGCTTTTACTGATAGTTTAAAGGCCCTGACACACCGCAAAGACTACAGCCGACGGCCAACCACCACGTACGATCTGTGCATGCATGAGAGGAAATAAGTCTCCATGCCAGCAGGGGGCGATAGTCCGTTGTTATGATGCGAGAAGACCATTTTCTCACCGCTGTCTCGCACCACTCGTATTAAAGGTAGCCTATTAATGTAGAATAATGTCTGATAAAAAGTTGAAAATGGCGCTGGCGTCGTCAACCCTTGGTCTTTTAGTGGAAAAAGAAAAGAAGAGGCGGAGGAGACAAAAAAGGAGAAACCGCATTAATGGGTGAAAGCATGAATAATACAGCGGCATGCTCAAGGGGATTTATTGAACCTGTGTGGAGCGCTGACGGTCCAATTAAGACCGACAGCCGACGATCTCCTCTGTGTGTCAAAGCCTTAAAAGTGCATCTTGTTTCTAGGCAACGTGTGATGTCATGGTGGTGTGTCCCATTACTTATTTTTTATACCTGACTAACATGCATTCACACACTGCAGACCTGATGACCTTTAAGTCTGTGAGGGTTCAGAGGGTGATGATTGGGATCAGGCTGCTACAAATCAGATCAATACGTTTCACTATCATGCACTTTAATTTAGGCTACGCAGTAAATTGTTTTTTTTAATAAAGTTTGGTTTATGGTTGCAGTTAAGGTCTGTAGATCTCAGCTACAAAAGCTGAGAAGGGGATGCAAAGGAAAAGCAGAAAGGAAAGGAACATAGTCCAAATCGCCTGCCAGCTGTTCAACAAAACAAATACAACAGTCCTGTAATTCGTCCTTGAAAAGATTTTCTTCCACCAAGAGCAGTAACCTCACCGTTTTCTATGTAGCAGGGGATTTTATGCAACAGCATCAGACGTCCGTGAAGGTCACTGACGTTCTCTTGAACAGGAAACTGCAGAGGCACTTTGAGGACACAGTTGTGTTTCCCTGCCTTGAACTCAAACACAAACTCCTTCCCGGTCGTAGGGTTGGCTTTGCCTTTATTCTTCTTCATTGCTGCAGCTGGAAAACAGGTGAAACAGTAAATTGACAAACAATAATCATGAAGTCTTTAAAAGAATCAAATATCTTGGTCATTTTACAGAAATACAGAAAATAACGACCAATGATGACGACGATATTTACAAGCAAAGCTGCAAGATGTATGCAAAAGCAAACAGCTTTGCAGCCAGGTTTAATTCGTGAGATGCAGTGAAGACATTTTTTAAGAGCTTTTAACTGTATCTGTGGACAAACTTTTAGAAAGGAAGCATGAAGAGACTACAAGTAGTGTGTAACAATGCATTGAGAGAGATGGTGCGGTGCAAGCGATAATATAACACTTTATTATCGCCTTGGGGGAAATTGTCTTGGACTCAAAGCACTGCAAACACTCAGCTGCCTTCTCAGTATAATCAATAAATAAAAACAATAGAAACAAACACAATCAACATGTAAACAGAAAAGAACATTAACCACATTGTCACAATATCTGCATATATAACACAACATAAGTAAGAGAAAAGATAAGAACATATAAGAACACCATGACGATATTGCACAACCCATGCAGCCTTAAGAAACATTATCCAGAATGTTGATACAAGTGGGAAAACATAAGTTTTTAAAACACTTGAGTGAGATGTTTGTGGCTGCAAACTTAATATCCTTCAAGCTGTATTAAGAAAATGTTTTAAAATGATTTGCTGACTGGGATTGAAATCCTTTTTTGGGTTTAGTTTCTTGCCTCAGTTTGTTTGTATTGAACTGAATTGAAAGTTCATCTCTTTGCCTGTAGACCACCATCAACCCATAATATAGTTTCTGCTGATAATATGTCTACACTCATGCACTTTAACTTATGTCCATACTGTCCATTTACAACTCTGTTTTTGCACATTTACATTTAATCTTTCATATTTAAGACTAGTAATGTAAGTTAAATCCTGGTTGTATATATTCCCATTCTTAGTTTTGATATTCTTAGTGCTTATTCACCTTGTATTTAATATTATATTGTGTTTAGATTTGCTAATGTTGTGTTTTTTTGCTCATATTGTGTGTTGGATAACCTGCTGCTGTAACGCCACAATTTCCCAGTTTGGGATCAATAAAGTAATTCTATTCTATTCTATTCTATTCTATTCTATTCTATTCTATACCATTATATCTTCAAATACATGAGGTAAACAATAAGTTACACGAAAACTTCAAAAATGCCCTTTTAAAATAACAAGCAAAAGCCAAATATTATCTAAATGTTTAAAAAAAATACATGTTTATGTGTACATTTGAGGAAAAATAAAATGTGTAAGCTAAGTTTACCTCCTGCTCCTTTAACATGTAGAGCTGTAGCTCCACGTTAGCTACCTAGCAGCAGAGCTAACATTTGTGAGCTGAGATAAAAACATTAACAGATAATCCCTCTGCTGTGGACCCACAGAGTCATCGCTCTTTTCTGCAGATGATGAACATATTCAGTCTTTTAAAGGTACATATTTACCTGTGTGAATGGTGTTTCCTGATGCAGCAGACTGTTTGGGTCAGTCAGCTGACTCTTCTTCAGAGTTTAAGCATCGAGACAGTAAAAACCACTTTCGCCACACTGAGGCTCAGATGTGTGTGGCCATGTTGTCAATTGAGATTATACATTATGTCTCTGAAAGCTTTATACATGTGGAATAAAACATTGTATATACATTTTTTAATTGACTTAACGCATTAAGCAGCTACACTGAGTGACGAATCTGCAGATCATGAAGCTTAATTTACCTTACAGTTTGAACGTCGTGGGTTTGTCTTATGTAGTAGCTCCCCCTGCTGGTCAAAGATGGTAGGTTTATGGTGATGTTGACTTTTGAGTGAAATTCATCTTTCCAGCTTGTTTACAACAAATTATACGGAGCCCCTGAAGTCCCAAAAAGTTAGATAATAACTTGTGCGAACAAGATAATTATCTTGTGTGCTTAAGATAAATGAGATTAATGTATTACTGTGCAATGATTTAGGATAGGATAGGATAGGATAATACTTTATTGATTCCCAGAGGGGAAATTCGGGCGTTGCAGCAGCACAGACAAGTAAGCTCAAAATACACATTAAACAGAATAAAAATACAAATAAAAACAGGGGGTATATACAAGTACAAAATGAATGATGAAGTTAACTATGCAGGGAATTGAGAATTGAGACAGTATTTGCAGAGAATGACAAGATAAAGTGACAAGTGATGATTAAAGTGACTTGGTATGATAAATAGAAGCAAGTAATGTAAACAGCAGAGAAGAGAGGCAGTGTTTTACCACAATAATGCAGAGTGCAGTTATATAACATAATGTAGTATAATATAATATAATATAATATAATATAGTGCAATATGAACAATATAGTGTAATATAATGAAATGTTATATAATATAGACTAATATAATAATATAATAAAATATATAGAATTTACAGTATATATGTATATATATATATAGATGCTAAATAATAATAATAATAATAATAATAATAATAATACAATGTTAGTAATGATAATAATGAAGCATTACAATTTACTGAAACTTACTGAAACTTAGAGCTTTATTATGTCAGTTAATATGGTTGGTGCATAGGCTAAATATATGTCCTGTTTTTTTCTAATTTTCCTAATACATTTGTTTTGACTTTTAATCCTTCACTCGTACAAAATAAACAAGTAAAGAAACAAATAAGTAGCCTAAATAAATGGCACATGCATACTGTAAACAAGTAATTACCCATAGAAATACTGATCATAGTACGTAGGCTATATTCATATGTACAGATGTATCCATGCATTCATGTACCATTGCAAAAATAATAATTATAATAACAACTATAAAGCTCAAGCTTAGGCTGATATTTTAGGTAAGTCTTCTATTGCAATTTCACATACAATTTTACAATCTTAATTAGGCTAAGTCCTCCTTACAAAACATGGTTCCTCTAACATTTCCTTTCAGATTTACATAACCCTATAGGTAGTCAATATCCTGGCTGTACAAGATTTGAAAGAAACACATCTTTTATTCAAACAACTTTTCAGCCTTTTCCAAAATACCTCTACTGTTTGTAATTACTTGTTTAACTTAAGTAGTCCACTGTTTCCCACTGCTTCTTGTTATTTGCTTCAGTGATGTTATTTTCGGAATCCAAAACACCTTTGGGACGTGTTCCCAAGAGTATATTCTGTTTTTCTGAACAGAAATACTCACAGTGCGTGCAGAAGTGTGTGATAGTTGATGTAGGCTGTCATGTATCATTCATTGCTTTGTCTTGTTTAATGCATATTTAGGTTAATATTGAATGTAGCTGTTTCTTTGGGTTGTGCGGACCCCAGGAAGAATAGCTGCCTTCATGGGCCAAGGCTAATGGGGGTCTAAATAATCACAAATAATAGACTGTAAATATAAGAGGGAAATTCATATTTATTTATTTTTATTATTATTTTTTTTTTTTTTTTTGACTAATCAGCCACTCCTTGCTAAGTGCTAACGCTCGCTCTTTAACTCAGTAGAATGCCAAATAGAGCAACAAGAAATTCAGCCAGTCTCACAGATAACTGGAGTAGATCCTGAAGTGTGCAGGCTACTTATTCATAAATAGACTTTGAATCCATGAATCAATGAATCCAGAATCATTTTGAGTCGAAAATCAATTCTGAATCGAATCCTTACCCCAAGAATTGCAATCGATTTGTGATACACCAGAAGATTTCCAGCCCTAGTGAATAATAATATGTATAGTCTATAACAGGGGTTCCCAAACTTTTCAGGTCGTGACCCCCAAAATAAGGGTGACAGAGACTGGGGACCCCCCACTATTCTTTAAGGTGGTTCGTTAGGTATATAACGTAGCGACAGCCACGCACACACTAATAAACCTATCCAAAAACTAGGAACACAAAATAATAAAACAGCCTAAAAACAATAAAACTTACACATTAATTTCACTTAATGATACTGTCTTATATGACATTAGACTACTTTTTGTATATTTACAAAAATGGGTAAAAGAAATATATACTTTAAATGATTTTTTATTTTTTATGGAAGGCATCTTGCGACCCCCCTCTTGGTAGCTGGCGACCCCCCTGGGGGTCCCGACCCCCACTTTGGGAACCACTGGTCTATAATATGGTATGGATGTGTACACATTTTCTTCAAGTTTGATTAATTAAGGGAGCGTGTACAAGTAAACGCACCACATAATGCCGAATAATGTTTTATTTTTGCAGCTTAAAATTGTAAATAAAAAACACTGATGATTAACAATGCCCTCCTTTAGCATACATTAATTGATTACATTTTCAATTTGTTTTGTATTTTTTTAAACAGCATTTTTTTGGTCCCACTCTTTCAAATCCGTGTGAGTATTTGTAGACGGTCCCTAACATTTCAACCGTCCCGTGACGTCACACCTAGCGTGGCCAACGGCTCTCTCCAACCGAGTGCTCAGTGAATGATCTCCGGCAGCTCGGTTCAGCTCGGTTCAGCTCGACTTTCAGAAATAATTGTGTACAAACCGGGTCATTTTTGTACAGCTGCGTACAGCCCCACGCTTCCCCGGTCTCCTGTTTCTCTGTCTGCGGCGGTGCAGCGTGTTTTCCTGGGGGAGTACGGAGCTGGTGTCCGGAGCGGTGATGATGGAGGTGGAGACGGCCAGTAACAGAGGCGAACTGGGAGCTATGGGGGACGCTCTGCAGCCACAGACTCCCAGCAGGCACGAGAAGAGTCTGGGACTGCTCACAACCAAATTTGTGACTCTATTACAGGAGGCAAAGGACGGAGTGCTGGATCTGAAAGCGGTGAGCAGGCAGCCAGTCTTTGTTGTTAGCTAGCACATGTCGTTAGGTTACATGCATTTTAGCTAGCCTGTTAGCCTAGCTTAGCCGAGTGACAGGCTAATCTGAATGAGTGCGACCTCTTTGATGAGCTCTTTCACTTCAAGATCGTGTCATGTTATTGTTAAATGTTAAAATAGGACAACTTGAGGATACAAACTGATCTTTGGGAACACTGGTCAACTTTTCAGACTCTGCAGACCCCCCCTGCAGACTCCCCAAGTTAATGAAAGTGGGTCAAGCTTTTGTCGTTCCCTTCAGAGCTAAACGCTTCTTCTGCATCTTCACACATGAACAATTATTCCTGATTGATAGTCTTTGTTCCTTGACGACAACTCAATTAGTCTCCAATAGTTTCCCATAACTATGATGTTTGAACAACATCTGTGTGACCCACAGTTATCTGTTCTGCATCCTCAGTCTCTGATGATCCTGGCTGCTGTGTTACTATAGAGCTCACATTTTATATTCAAAAGTACACTCAGTTTACTGCACATTGCGCATTTCAAGTTTACTTTTTCTTTACATTTTATTTTATTTACCATTTTGTTTTGTACCTTTTGCACTATTTAGAATTTATTACTGTAAATATTATTTATCTTATTTTACCTTATTTTGGTTGTATTGCACCGCGGGACGGAGGCAAACGCAATTTCGATTCCACTGTATGTCTGGCATATTTTGAAATTGACAATAAAGTTGACTTTGACTTCGACTTTTGAAGAACCAGTTGTTGTTTAACCAAAAACAGGACCTATGGACATGCATTAATGGACCTCAGTGATAGTACTCTGGAAGTGTTTTCATACTTTGGTGGAGGCAACCCTTTGGTCCCCAACCCAAGTCCCCCAAACTACTACTACATCTTATTTCTTTTTAATTTTAAGGCTTATTTTAGGCAAATGTATTCCTTTATTTAGAGATAAGAACAGTTCATAGAGTCAGAAGTCGGGGGGGAGAGAGAGTTAGGAATGGAGCAACATGTAGGACTTGAACCGGGGCCACCTACTTGGAGAACTAAAGCATCCGTACATGGGGTCCGCGCACTAACCTCTAGGCTACCAGCGCCCCCAAGACTTCTACTTCTACGTTTACTTTGATAAGATAAAGTTTGAGAACAAATTGAGCTATGCACAGCTTTCAGCCAGTGTCGCTAACTCTTTATAAGCCCTTAATTCAAATTGAGAAAATGTGATTCTTGCATGCAGATTGGATTTATCATATATATTTAACATGTTGACCTGTGCTTGTCAAATTTAAACATGCATAGAAGATGCTTTCTAAAACTATGTCAAGCCTCTTTATTTCAACCAGATGGCAGCTTGACCAGCCATGCATTTACTTTGCAAAATAGATCCGTGTTCCTCTTTGACCGTGACCTCAATGACTTGACAAGAGAGTGATTTCACACCTGCTGACACTCACATTGGCAGTAATAGAGCACGGGACAGTCATGCATTTTCTATTTTTCACTTGTCTATCTACAGTAACACGCTGCATCTTAAATAATGAAAGCAATTCACACCCAGCAATAATTCCCTCTCCCCTCAAATAAACATATGTCCTTAATAGATTAGGAATAACCCTGTGGCCTAATCTCCTTTTGCCAGATGTTAGTTCAAATGTTTGGCGATTGAGTGTAGCTGATCCAGGAAATCCATGAGTTGATAAAACAATTGTGTTATGTGAACTGTGTAATGATACAATATATTTTATGATTGCTGTCATTTAACTGGCCTATGTTGCACTCACAGGCCTCTTATCAGCAGCAGCCAAATGGTTGTCATAAATTTGATAAACACCAAGATGCTGGGGAAGGAAGTTCTACCGACACTCTGGTACCCTATGATGGG